AAAAAAAAAAAAAAAAAAAAAATTTCCCATGCTTAGGTTCATTTGGTGGGGAAATGTCAACAAATATAAGTATTTTTCACTTCTATTTTGAAACATTCCAAAAATTTAAAAGTGCCCATAGTATTTGTAGCTAACATATTTCTATCTGAAGAGCTTGTGTCATAGACTTTTAAGAAGAAATGTAAGCAAACCCTGGAAGAAGATATGGACTAGCTCATCAAAGAAGTGGTCATAATTCTTTCAAGTTCATCCTGGATAAAGTCCTGGACAAGTTTCTAAAGAATACGGCTGATTCAGGGGGAGGGAATATTGGGTCTTTGGGTGAGAAAGAATTCTGTCTATCTGATCTCAAGTAAAGAACTATATAGACTGGGATTATAGTTCATTGACACCATGTTCATCTAACATGATATCTTGGTTTTAGTCTCAAACACTTCCTCCCCACCCTGAAGAAAAACCAAAAACAATAGTTCTTTAAGCCAGTTTGTTACAAAGAAAATCAGTTTAGTAGAAGATTTTAATTTTGATAGCGGTCCTAATTCATAAAGTAGAGTACCAAGATACCTAGGAAATTGTAATGTCTTTAGGAAATGCAGTGAGATGCCACTTTCAGTCCCCAGATTGACACAGGTTAATGTTTAATATCAGCTTTTGTGAAATCCAAGCTATTGCATAGATTATAAGTGCAGAAGTAACTGTATAATGATACTTGGTTTTAAAGCATACCTTAAAATAGCTCTCCAAGTGAAAATGGCACTAGGAAATGATACCTCTCGGTTTCCCAACCCAGCTTGTAAATATGTCCACTAGGAGGTGCCACAAGAACAAGTATAACGGTGAAATTTGAGAATTACCCCAGTGCGCCTTTGCTAGAAGAACCCATGTGTACTGGGAAACTCCAGTGCTGCCCTTTCCAGGACCTGCCGAGTTTCAGAAGGGAATTACAGACATGTGTGTATGTTCATTCTGTCAAGTCACCACCGTAAACATTTCTAGTCCTCAGCATTGGAAAACTGGGGAGCTAGGGTGTGTGTTAGAGGGCTCTTCAGCTTTGGCCTTATCTCAGATGTTTTATTAGTTTTTGAAGAGGTTTATTTATTTAAAGGAAGCGTGTCTATTGAAATGCCTGGAGCAGTTCTCCCTATAATCTTCATCTCAAGCCCATGTTGGCACCATCCTAGCCCGAGTTGTCTCTCAGCACCACTAAGCTGGCACTTGTTGGGCACTCTTTACATGGGGTTGTATTTTGTCTTGTCTTGTCTTGTCTTTTAATGCTTGTCTCATCGGTTAAATTGTACATCCTTTGACAACAAAGGGCCTACCTAGGTTTTGATTTGTTTTTAACATGTCAGCAAAAGAAGGTCTTACTTGTAAAAATGTGCTAGCGTGGTGGCTCTCTTGCATTGTTTAAGTGAGATTTTTGTGGTTTTTATAAATAAAATCCATAATAAATCTAATTTGTATAAATTTATATAAATTCTTAATTTCTTACTAGGTAAAATATTTTAAATATTCAGTCACTTAAAAGAAAAATTTAAAGTATAAAAGGTCATCTGCTTCCCAGCTCATAAGATGATGCTTAAAAAGCCAGGAAGTTAGACCAAAGGTGAAGCCTAGAGCCAAGACAGCAGTGGTAGAACATTTCATCAGGGTCAGCATAAGACAGAAACTCAGGAATGGGAAACCTTGTCTTGTTTAGAGAATTGACAGATGTTCCTCAACTTTCTGGGTGTTCTAGAAAAGACATGGTAGGAGAAGACATGCTCAGCTGTTAAGTCCAAGGTTGTGAAGAATAAGACTGTTCACAAACCACTCGATGGGAACAAGAATAGTGCTTCCTTAGTTTGTATCTTAGCAGAATGATGAGGAGATGTTCTACTCAAGATACGATGTAAAAGCTCTTGAGCCTCAGGGGAAAGACCTACAATGAGCACACACACCTGGTGTCTAGTCAGCAGTGCTTACCTCAAGAGCAGCAACCGTGGAAGCCTGTACATAAGGCCAATGAGATCAACGTCATGGAAAAAGGAAAATACCAGATTATAGAACAGCTAAGGTTGATTAGACCCCCCGCTCCAGGTCTGCATGCCTTTCAGTTTCATCCTAACAAGTGGAATTTATCTTCACAAATGGGTGCTATAAAGTTCTTAACCATGAACGTAGTTAAATAACTGATGGGCATTTTTTAAATGTATAGAAATTTAAAACCAACATATTTTTCTTTTCTGTGTAGGTCGTTTATATGCTATGCAAACTGGAATGAAGATTGATAGTAAAACTCCCGAGTGTCGTAAATTTTTATCAAAGCTAATGGACCAGTTAGAAGCGGTAAGTTAACCACCATTAACTTACTATCTGACTGTTTTATATGGCATTTCATTTTGTGTGTTTGTACCTGTGCTTTCGGTCATTTCAGTTCTTCCCCTAGCCACACTTAGCAATGTCATTACACCTGAAGAAAAAGGAGGAGTCTTAAAAACCCACACTTCAGCCAGGGGAGTTTCAAGTGTAAAGTAGGCTCTGTTATTGTTGCATCCTTTACAGCTGTAGGCTTACTTTCTGTCTGTTTAGGTATTTGTTAATTGCATCGCTTGCATTATTTGTCTTAAAAAACCAAAAGTAATACATACCGAAGTAAACAATTTATGTTATCCCAGAACCTTTTAAGGTTTTTATTGTTTTGCTTTATTATTCCAGAGTTACTATTCAGATCAAAGGACCAGTCCACCGTAGAACTTAGAGCCTAGTTGTAATTGGCAACCATAGATAAAGTGTCCTCTGTGACTTCTTGTCCCTGTCTACTGACCCAAAGTCCCCGGTTTCTAATGTTGCTTTCATGGATATAAGATGAACTATAGTGCCATTGCATGAGATGCCGCTGGGGAAGATGGACAGTGCCTTTCACACATCGCAGTGAACTTGGAAAGTCTTACCTTTCACTGACATACAGATTTATGGTCTTTCACATTGGTAATAACAGCTAAGGTAAAGCTTCAGACTGAGCAGAACTCAGTTCTTTGCAATGTGTACAATCACAAACAGTGAGGTAAGTTCATTCACATGAGTGCTTATCTCTATAATACAGTGTTTGCATTAGACTTTAAAGCATTCTAAATGTCTTGATTTTATCAGATATTTTTGCATGAACATAAGATGAAGTGACATTTTCACTAATTTTTTAGGATTAAATCTGCTTTTACAAATCAGTTTGCAGGTTAAACACAGTAAATTGTGTTATATGGGGATTTGAGTGGTTAGAATAAGGCTAGGAAAATTACCTTAAATGTCGACATTACATACATCTCTTCTAGAGATTAAATTATTCTGTTTTAATTTTTAGAGTTTTTACTTGAGCTGACTTTTTAGGCAATCCTGAGATATTTTTTGCATGTGTGCGTGTTTGTCTGAATGTATACAAGTGTTCCCCACATGTTCAGTACCTGCAGAAGCCAGCAGAGGCCATCAGATTTTCCCTGGTACTTGAATGACAGGATTTTTGTAAACCACTATGTGGGTGCTGAACACTGAACCCATGTCCTCTGCAAGTGCTCCTGAGCTCTTTCCAGCCAGCCTCTAGTAAAAGCAATTATAGTTGCCTAAATATGATGCTCCTGAAAATTATTTTCAGTTAATGGTCCTAGACAAGCAAAACAGGAACTGCTTTGGTTTTAAAATATTTCAAGTTACTGTATGTGTAGTGGAGGGATATGCAAACTGAAAATCTGCATAGTTGTAAGTTGTGTTGACTTGGGCTATATGTGTCTAAGTTTGAAATAATCTGGAAATGAATTTATCACTTTACACCTCTCATAGTTTAGTGTGAGCTCTCCTTTAAACTGTGTTCTAGAGGCACTATTTTAGGACACAGTGATGCTTCTAGTCTTATTCTTTTATATTTGATGCAAACTGAATAGGTCAAAGTTAAATTTTAAATTATGTGCTTGAGAAATTTCTAGTTCCATTTTAGGGTAGTTGTTAGTGGCTGGGTAATATTTAGCAGGATTTGGTTCTTCAACACTTGGTAATGTTATCTTTTATTTTGGGTTGTTTTCATCCATAAAGCTCCATTATACCTCTACATTTTCATCCCTATGAAAGAGTCGGGGGGCTTTTGTTTGAATACAAACAAATGGCTGGGGTAGAGCCATTTTAGAAGATTTGCTGTTGCAGTTTTTATTGAAATGAATGTAGTTTACTTAAAGTAATTATTAGATTACTTGTGCTTTAGCAGACCCTTCTGAGAATACAGAATCATGAGCTATGTGTCTGATTTTATTTTAGCTTAAGAAACAGTTGGGGGATAATGAAGCTGTTACTCAAGAAATAGTTGGTTGTGCCCATTTGGAAAATTATGCTTTGAAAATGTTCTTGTATGCAGACAATGAAGATCGAGCTGGACGATTTCACAAGTAAGTGAGGAAGGAAAATAAAAACTTTTAAAGCCTGGCTTCTTTCTGACCAGAATTACCTAGTGTCCATTTGAATACTTTCTGACCACCTGAGTAATGGTTTATATATTTTGGAATTGTAATCCACAGTGATTTCTTGGTTACAAATATGAGCTTTTCTATTTGAAGAGAGTAGCTTTAGAAATGATTTATGTCCAACTCATTTCTCAGTAAATTTATCCCAATTAGCCAGTCTTTACATTTAGTAAAAATCTGAGTTGATTTTAGTCAAAACAAATTTGTTCTGATGGTGTCAATTTTAAAAGGATACCAGCCAAGCTGGGTGTGGTGGCACAGAGTTATTTCGAGATAAGAAAACATTCAAGGCCAACAGAGGCTACATGCAAGACACTGTCTCAAAAAACAAATGATACAAAAACAAGGAAGAATACCAGCCAGTAGAGGACTGATCGGTCATTATTATAGTATTTAAAACCACGGGATGTAGTGTTCTTTGATAAAGATCCAGGTAGTAGTTAGCATTGCTAAACCAAACTCCGTGATAAAACCTTGTAGCATTTACTTACAGTTTCTTCTGATGACGCTAGCAATGGACTCCCATTTGTGTTCTTGGAATAGATTTTATTTCAAGCATTAATTTCAGTGTTTTTAAACGTTTTTTTTCTTATAAGTACATGACTACATTTCAATGTTTGTTTGTTTGTTTGTTTAATTCAATCCCCTTTTCTCTTCCAGAAACATGATCAAGTCCTTCTACACTGCAAGCCTCTTAATAGATGTCATAACAGTGTTTGGTGAGCTGACAGATGAAGTGAGTGTGTACCTTACTGTCTCACAGCTGAAGATGAATAATGGTGCTTTTTATTAGGTTTCTATTGCATTATTTACTCAGACCATGTCTGTCCAAAGTATAATGGAAGCAAAAATGATAATTTTTTTTCTGGCTACATTTTTTGAAAGTCAAATGAAACAACACTTTACACACAGGATAGCAATGCTTTGGAAGATATTTGATTTCTCATTTAAAAAAAAGAAAAGATAAAGAAGCTAGAAAGTTATGTGATTGTAAATACAAGTGCTTAATAAAGAAGAATAGGGGGGAAAAGCAGAAATAAAAAGTTGTTTATCAGAATCCTGTTGATAACAATATTCACTTGAAAAAGATGAAGATGGGGCAGGGAGACAGCTCAGCAGTTAGGAGCACTAGAAAAAGACATTCATGTCAGAGACTAAGTCGCCAAAAGCCAAGGAGCAATGGCAAGCCAAGTAAGCTTTTAGAACATATTATTGTCTCATATTACATGAGACATTTCATAGTGGTCAGGAGTCAGGTCATGAAGAAAATGGTACATTTTCAAATGTCAGTATACCCCATAACAAGATTTTCAAATATGAAATACTTAGCACAAAATCTTTAAAAATTTATAATTATAGTTAGAGATTTTAAAGAACTACTCAGTCACTGATGAAAAAAAAGAAAAATCACAAAAAAAACCAGTAGCTTTAACATTCAGTAAAATTAACCAAGCAAATAAAGACTGGCCCCTGAAATGTTTAGAATGAAGAAAAACCAGACCTTTTTTTGGGGAAAATGTTAGATGTTATAACTACTGAGTGGAAAGAATTGGCAAGTTTTATAAAATTAAACATACTCACACCTTTTTTACCCAGCACTTCCTTTTCTGGTACTTACCCAAGAGAAACAAAAACATATGTCTAGAAAAAGAGCTTGCTTGTTGGAAATTTATTCATAACAGCCAAAATCTGGAAACAACCCAGATATGTACATCTGAGCAATTGATAAACAAGATTGTGGTGTTATTCAGTATCATATGGAATTGACAAATGATGTAGCCTAGAATATGGGTGAATTTTGTAGAAATGCTGATCAAAAGAAGAATCTAATGGTACACTGTTCATGTTTGCCTGTAAATAATGTAGACAAATTCATTCTAATACAAAAAAATGAAAAATACTTTGAAGGGTTTTTTATGGGGGCAAGGGGAAATGGATCTGAAAGTGCTATAAAGAAATATTTCGATTAGTTAGAAATTACATATATTGTATATTTACACCAACATCTATTTATCAAAATAATAATTTATATATTTAATGTTTATACATCTCAAATGATATCAGTTTTATTGAAAAAAATGTCAGTATTGCACTATTTCTAGGCTTCTTTGGGGTGAGCTGACAGTTATAAAGTGGCTTACTCTGGGATAAGGTGGATAGGCAAATACAGAGGGCAGCACTTTGGTAGGAACTAAGTACAAGGAGAGAGAGAGATGTAGAGATGTACATTGTGTTGCAAAATTAGAGGATCTTAATTCATGCTTCTGAAGACATTGGTTTATATATACACACTTATGCATATGGATATGTGCTATTTTAATGTGTATAATGTGCATGTTTTCATGAATATGTACTTACAGTGTGTATGTAATATCTGTAAAAAGCATATACAGCCTAGTTACTGTTTCTCTATACCAAGACAATCTAAAAACAATGGAGCCCAGCAACAGAGAGCAGCCTGGGTACCTGATTTGATTCTCAGCACCTGTCTTTTGTAACAGGAACTCTTGTAAAAAAAAAAAAAAAAAAAAAAACTGCATTGTAGTTCGGGTCAGGAAAGCAGTGCATTAGGTTGGACCTTCTTGTGCCAGAAAATCATAGTATGGTATTTTACACTTGGAAAATTGAGATAGGAAGATTTAAGTTGAAGGCCAGCCTAAGCTATGTTGAGACCCTACCTCTAGGTAGGTGGGTGGGTGGGTGGATGGATGGATGGATGGATGGATGGATGGATGGATGGATGGATGGATGGATGGATGGATGAGTAAGTAAGTAAGTAAATAAGGGGGTGGAAGGAAAAGAGGAAAAATTTGAGCATCAGTACAAGTCTGATAACAGTTGACAATAACCTAAGTTTATAAATCAGTGGGGCCATAGTGTTAAATGTAATAAAATGAGTAAGTGATGGAAGAACAGAAAAACTCTTTATAGCATTTGAAGCCTATTAACTATCTCCCCTCACATTACTTAATAGCTTCAATGAGAGAAACCATGAATTTATAAGGGAAAAACATGGACCTCTTTAAGCAGGTTGGGAAACCTGGCATCACTAGTATTGGAGAAAGCCAACATCACCATTACCTATTCAATATTAAGTAGTCTGTGGCAGTGCTGTTCAAAATATATAATGTGAACCAAACATGAAGAAACATCCAACAGATCTAATCAATAGACATTTTATAACTATGCTAGCATTTTTTTATGTCAGGGTCAGGAGAAACAGTCTTTATCAGATTGAAATTAAATAGCCATGATTACTCAGTATGACTAAATAATGCATGCGTCTCTTAGACTAGCTCTCTGCCTTGGGAGAAGGAAATGCAGAGGACATTACTGGCGCAGTTGACAGAATGTTACGGTTGTGAAGCAGATAGTACTCCTGTGTGTGAATATTCCTGATCTTGATTCTGTTGTGTATGAGATTGTCTTCCCTCTGAGAAAAATGATTGCAAGATGTGGGGAATAGCTTGACCAGATGTAATATATCTACCTATATGTAATATAATATATACTGTTGTAGCTAGAGTTTTCCTGCCTGGCCCATAGTCAGGACAAATCTCTCTCATCCACCAGTCCCACAGCTGCTCAGACCCAACCAAGTAAACACAGAGACTTACATTGCTTACAAACTGCATGTCCGTGACAGGCTTCTTGCTAACTGTTCTTATAGCTTAAATTAATCCATTTCCATAAATCTATACCTTGCCACCCACGTGGCTCGTGGCTTACCGGCATCTTCACATGCTGCTTGTCCTGGCGGCAGCTGGCAGTGACTCCTTCTGCCTTCCTGTTCTTTCTTTTCTCCTCTCTGTTAGTCCCGCCTATACTTCCTGCCTAGTCGCTGGCCAATCAGTGTTTTATTTATTGACCAATCAGAGCAACACATTTGCCATACAGAACATCCCACAGCATACTGTTGTTAAAACTTCCCCATAAGTTTAATGAAACTATATTATTAAATATTTGAACATACATACCAATGTTATGATAATAGAATAGATAAATTTTAATATGTGGATTTAATTTTAATTTTTGAAGTAAAAGTTTGCTCTCCTCTTTAAAATCTTGTTTTGTGAGATTATGGTTGCTTTGAAAATTATGCACCTATAAAACTCTTGTCTAAACCTGTCAGAAAGTGTATGTAATAAGTAATTACAAGTACTTCAGTATATAGTCACTATTATAACAATTTTTATTGCTTGTTTCTCAAGTATTCCTTACTATATTTCATTGCTCCAGGCACTATATAGACCATCATTTGTTTATATGATATATTTTAGGGACCAGAAGTAAATGTGCTGTAAGCACTAAGAGATTGCTAGCCTTTTTTTTTTTTTTTTGTTTTTTTGGTTTTGTTTTTTTTTTTTTTTTTTGTTTTTGTTTTTTGGTTTTTTTTTGGTTGCTTTAAAATTTTTCCAAAAGCTGTAAATTCCCTCTCAGGAATTTTTTTTCCACTTCTTTTTATAACTTGGGGATTTTATCAATATCCTCAACATTATCCACTGAACCCCAAGTCATTGTATATTCAAGTTTAACAAAAAAAAAAAAGTTTATTGCTACATTTCAATAGCTGTAATTGACAAATCAAAGGTAGAAATAAGAATTTGTAAGTAAGTTGATTTGGAAAGGCCTTGCTGAGAATCAGGCAACATTTTAGCAAAACCTTAAAGATGATGAGGGAAAAAAAGCACAAAGATAGTCCAGGAGGAGGCAGTTTTATATGGAATTCATACTGTTTATCAAGTACCATCATGATTCTGAAGCTAATATGAACTACTCATCCAAGACTGGGTAGCAAGGGGAATTCTGTGACTGAATGGAAAATAGCAGGGAGAAGAATAGAGATTAAGATGAGGAGGGAGAATTCAAGCATAGTGGCTAAGAATTGTCTTTATCTAAACAGTCACTATTTTCAGGGCAGTAGACAGGGATTGACTAGGAAAAGCAGACATTAAATAATCAATATGAGAGATATTGCTTGTTCAGACCTGACTTTGCAGTGGAGGTCATGATGACAAGTAGTTGGATTCTGAGTGTGTGTCTGTCATAGCACTGATAGAAGTAGATGATAAGAGTATGACTGAGAGCATGGCCTTGAGCAGCTGTTGAGAATGGTGTTGCAAGCCATATATGGTAGCGTACTGTAATCCCAGCACTCAGGAGGCAAAGACCACAGAGGGTCATGAGTTCCAGGCCAACCTAGTTTAAGCCTAGCCTAGTTAGTACCTCAGAGCAATAGCAAATAACAAAAAAGAGAACTGCCATTCAGACATGTCAGAATTGACATAAAAAGGAAGAAGTTTGGTGAAGGGATCAATGGAGCTGAACTTTGAGAAGATTCTATTGTAGTAGTTGCTTATTGTCAGTTGAAATATAACACTGAGGTCTAAAAGATCATTATACGTTTATTAGGAATTTATTTCTTCTACTAGGAAAATATTTCCTAATAAAAAGAATATTTCCCCCACATCTGATGCTTTTTACTAGGTTTTAAAATGTGGCTATCCCTCATATATTGCCTCTAAGTAAGAAAATTATATGGAGGATGGGGCAGGGGGAGGCTACCAAGCCTAGAAGTGAAGTGTTTAATTAGATGTGTTAGTTTTGAGGTTTGAAAGAGTCTAAAAGAAGGCGTAAATTTGAGACTTTTTTATATGTTGTTGTTTAAAGCCAACATGACCAAGGCAATTTTTATAAAAGAAAGTACTTCAATGGGGGCTTGCTCAATTTCAGAGG